ACACACACACACACCACACACGCATGAAAATCGATGCTCGTCTATTCTGGCACGACGCGTTTACGCGCTAATACCAAAGCGGTTTAACTCGCTGCTAATATCGTTGATTATCCAAACAGTAGATAAGACTTTTAGTTCAAACTTGATAATGCGTTGTATTATGATATTTTTGTGCTCTTTTCGTTACCTTCATGTGCGATGTTTCACAATAACACCTAGAGTACAGAGTATCTTTAAATTTTTAAATTGCCTAAATATACATATGTATATATAAAAATAAGTAAGAAGTGCACATGTCTTTTTCGACATAATTATAAATTTGATTACATAATACTTGCATTTTTTCTCACAAAATCACTTTAAATTTATCTCTTTAAAGTTATACGTAGATGAAGAGCGCGAGATTTTCATCTATTCAATTTCGAATGCAAACTTTTTTTCTCGGGCTTGAAAAACGCGGATAAAAACTGACACTCACGCAAAGATGAAAGATATTAGAGCTCCGTCTCATTCCATTTTAAAATGGCGCGTATAATGTCACCGTCGGAAATTTTTCGAAACTGCGAACAGATTTTTTACCGCACATACGTTCGCGTTACTCGGACGAAACTTTATGATGTATGCCCGGTCTTAATTAAGCTCATACATCTCCTTGGATACCTCTCCTGAAAAATACTGCGAAAGTTCGTCCCATCGCACGTCCATTATACTTTAATAATCCGCATTCCTTTAACCCTTTGACGCCGTCGGACCGCCAAAGTGATCCGCATGTTCCAATCGACGGCGATAACGCGATCTAAAGTTATATCGTGCGACGAATTCGTGAAAATTCTGAGCGCGTATAACTTTAGATGGATACATCATCGTCAATTGTAATACTATTCTCCTCTTTTTCAATTCTAAGCGCGAATTGGCAGGGATGGCGAAAATGATAGGAGGCACGTGAAAACGGGAATGGCGAATTATAAAGCGCGAAAGAAAACGTGCTCAACTTGCGGAGAGAGCGTTGTAATTCAAGCGCGAAACTACAGGGAGAAACTTCCTCCCCAAGACATGTATCTCGGTCTCCGAGATAACGTATAGTCGTGTCGTTTGTCACAGAATCTCGCTACGCACGACCCCGTCCTTACGGTGGCATCTTCTCGTAAGCCCGTACCGTTTCTGGTTACCGCACGAGGACCGACTCCAATGCGCGTCATTAAAGAATTTCCAACTGCGGCCTTATGGCACACATATTTCTTAACGTGCAATTTAACTTCAATTGATAAGCCCGGCACAAAAGCGTTTCCCGCACCCTTCTTATGCATTGTCTTATATTCGTAATAATTTTAGAATTCTCGATAAAACTTCAGATAATGTTTATCACAATTATCGATGAATTGTTATTGATATCGTCTCATTTTTGGCAGAAATAATATTTTATTATTATACAGATAAAAATTGAATTATAAAGAAATTAAAACATTATTTATTAAAATTTAATTACCGACATAAATTAAAAATTGAAATCCTAATATTTTTCTCATTTCACAATTTTAAAAATTATTTATAATTATTATATATATATATATATATATATTTTATATATATTAATTGCAAAATAAAATATGTGCTGTGTTATTTAACAATCTGAAAGAAACTAGTACAATATTAACACTGATTAATTTCATGTTCACGCTTCAGTGAAGAAATTCCGAATGAAGTTTCTAGATATGAGGAATGGCAAAAGTACGTGAATTCATGTATCAAATGCAACCACAAAACAATGCGGAAAACAATGTCAATGTGCACAATTCAAAAATTCCAGCAGACATGAAACAAACTCGCGGGCGCCGCGTATCTGCTTATAATTCGAGTGTAAAATCGCAAAATAACGCGACGAGAAATTCCTATGCTGACGGCTTGGGAATTCGGAGGCGGTAGAAAACTAAGTTTCCATAGGCTGTATATTTCACGTCGGTTGAAGACGCGGAACCGCAAAATAATACGAGCATGGCAGACGCTACTCAAATTGATCTCGCGAATCGCGAATCTCTCTTGCGTGACTCGTTTCTAGCCTGCTCGAAGAAAAAATGTCGGTGTGGCAAAGGCCTCGCCGAGAGAAAAAGATAAAATTTACTGATTTAGCGAGCAGAAGTAACGAGCGAAAACGAACGAGCATCGTCTGAATTTCGCGCGCTGTAAATCCGCGGCGCTGGCTGATTCGCTTCGCTGGTAAGATCGTTGGGAATTGGCGGAATAAACAGAGTAGACATATACAGAACGAAGTAAACGAGCAAGAGAGCAAGAGAGAGAGAGAGAGAGAGAGAGAGAGAGAGAGAGAGATATGGGAGGGAGAGATCGGAGGGAGAACCATCGGACTTCTACGGGAATTCCGTAAGTCGTGCGTTTCCCTGCTGTAAATCGAGCTCGAAACCAGGCAGCAACAACGGCAGCGGACCGCCGAGAGATATCTAACCCCTTGGTGCTCTCGCGTGTATCTCGATACGTTACCCCTTTCCGGGGGGTAGAGAAGAGAGCTCGCAGAGCTCGAGACGGGTCGAGGCTGGGAGACGATTGCTTTGCACTTCTGTGCACGCCCCCGGGGCAATCGTAAGTTGAGATACCTAGTAGGGTATCCACCCCCGACGGTCGTACCCCTTTGACGTCCCACACCCCCGGTCTTTCCATCCACCCTCGCTCGCTCGCTCGCTCGCTCGCGCTCTTGGCTGTTCGTACTTCTCTCAGTGGCTGGTGCTCCTCTCTCGGTGGCGACGCCGAAGTCTGGAGTCCCGAATGCAACCGGCACCCGCGAGAAGGAGGGTAAAGGAGGTCGGGGGCACCGAGGCCGGGATAGGGAGGCGAGAGATCGATCGCTTGAACGTGCTTTCGGCATCGTCGAATATTACCTACCACCTATATTCCCGGCCACATAGCCGGTGTATGTACGTACGTAATACTCTCCGGGGGGTACGTATAAGTGGGTAGACGGGTGTACGTGTACAGGGTGTCCCGTACCTATCGCACGTGAATAAGCCTTCAGCCCCAGATGATAGAAAATAGTGACTAAGAAGAATGACGGCTGCTACGGACGCGAAACATCGATGGCTATTGAGTTGCGAGTCGATCGAGAGTCGACGAGACTCTCTTTTGATGAATTAAACGTCGCGGAACATAAATTCGCGGATAACAAAATCTCCCTTTTGTCCGCTCGGGAGGAAACTTTAGAGCAGAAATTTAATTCGAGAGCGGAAGTTTAATTGCAGCAGTAACGTTATAATTTATAAAAGACTCGCAGTAATGAAAGATCAAAGATAAAACAATGTTACGAGTTATCAAAAACCTGGCAGTCCGGGTCGAGCGTGCTTGCGTGTTGGCTCCAAGACACCCTGTACACGCGATCGTATGCGCGCCAAGCGCGTATGTTATGTGATATAATACGCGGTGTATGTCCGCGGGGGTGTGTATATAACGGATAGGTAATATATACATAACGCGCAGACCGCGACCAAGGACCCGCCGCGCGCACGAGGAAGATGAGGTACGGAGGCATTGTTGAGCGATATCACAATAGCTGTGATTCGTGGGCCATCTGTCCGCCTGTGGTTCGAAAATTGCGCGGAAAATCGAAAGCGCTGCCGCACACTAAGAGGGAGGAGGAAGGTACGAAGGAGCGAGGGGCGCGGAGGGTTTGCATCTCTGGAGTATTACGGCTGGGTATTATTGTGGGACGCGCGGGATATCGAGAGAGCTCGTGGCTGAAGTGGCTGAAGAATTTTCGTTTGAAACATCGAT